ATAGAAGGTTATAGTTCAATAGAATACAATTTAAAGTATCATTTGCAACCGACTTGTTTGAACTTAACTTTCAGTTTAATATCCTCGGCAAAACCATTTAGAAAAATTACTCTTACATAATGAGACTGAGGCGTTGTTTTCGACACAAAGATTGACAGAATAAAGTTATTTCTCATATTCTCTGCCTTCATTTAATTTTGATTTCCATAGCAAGATACCAACTAAATGACCTGATTATCTTAATAACGTTAGATAAAAGTTATACGTCAAAATGTGCGGAAAATTTTTATGCTAAATTATCTGTTACACATGTAAGATCAATGTTAGCTAGATCACTTTTTGAGTCAAAATTTCTCATACCCAACCAAGACCAGCAAGTTCTTTTTCAGCACTAGATCCATATAATTGACTTCAGATAATCAGGTCAGGTTAACCATTATTTGGTTAGCACATTACCAAAATACTTTACTGCTCTAACATATCCATGCCTAATTAATTTTAGAAATGACCAAAAGTAGTAAAGGAAACATCTTAGTTGAATGCTCACCTCTGCTGCACCAGCCAAATCACATAACTCCTGCAACGGGATCTTTGAGAATAGCATTGTATGAACTACAGAAGGTTTCCCAATGGTCAAAGTTCCGGTCTTGTCGAATATGACAGTATTCACCTGTGTCAAAGTCCAACTATTAATACAGGAAGGAAAAAAAAACCCTAGGGCAACACAGTTATCAGAATGATACGTTCAGTTTAACTACAGTACAAATAAATAGAAGCAATCTTCTACTTGCCTTGTGAGCCTTCTCCAGTGCATTCCCACCCTTGATAAGGACACCTTGAGATGCTCCTTTTCCAGTGGCAACCATGACGGCAGTAGGGGTTGCTAGTCCTAGAGCACAAGGGCAGGCAACTACCAGTACTGAAATCCCAAACTGCAGAGCTAGCTCGAACCTATCCATAGCCTTTGGAATCCATCTCCTTGGGTAGAGATGAGCTTCTCCTGGGATAAACCATGCAAGCCAAGTAATAAATGCCATCAATATCACCTGTAAAAGATTGAAAATGGGCGTCAGAGAATGCAAGCAAAAAAAAAAAAAAAAAAAAAAAACAAAAAAAAAAAAAAAAAAAAAAAAAAACTAAAGGTATAATCTGAATCATTTAGAGGAAAAAGCTTCACCAGATGGATGCAAGAAAAAATTACTTTAATTTAGGATTTGCTAGAACTAAAACCTTACCCAAAACTTGTTTGTTTATAATTATGCAACAGCAATTCCTCCATATTACTTACTACTTGTTTAACAGTTGTATATTTACTAGAATAATATGAAAAAATTTGCTTGCCTCCTTTCCGTAAAAAAGAAGGTTTTTACGTAAAAACTATTGGGGCAAACCCAGGACCCAATAGAGCAGAGTTTCAGCGAATAGTAATGTGGAAGTAATTAAAAGAACACACAGATTTACGTGGAAAACCCCGTAAATAAATTTGAGGTAAAAACCACGGGCAAGAATAGAAGAATTCATTATGAGGAGAAACTTTGAAGTTACAATATCTCTTTACAAGAAAAAACTCTCTATTTTTTTTCTCACTCTTCTATATGAGGAGTTGTTTCTAGGATAGATTTTTCTTGAAGAGTTTTAGGCCTATTTTAGGCAACTGAAATCACTATGCACTAATTTTATAATATTATTTTACTATACACTTTTCCTCATTTCAAAATATGCGGCTGCTTTCAGTGCGAATTATTTAGCGATGCTCACTCACCTTTTTTCTTTTTCAAGATTTTCGACTGACAATCTCTCACTTGAAGATTTGATTGAGTACCAATCATATCTTCACACCATTCTTTCTATCTTGCCATCTTCATGTTGCTTATGTTTTCGACAGATCACAAGAGGATCGACACCAAATAAATTTGTCAGTATTGACTGTTTTTGTCAAAAAAATCTGTTAGGTTGTCTTTGATGTGAATTTTCTGCATATACATTGTTCCTTTTTCCACTTTCTCACAAACGAAATTGTACTGAACTCGAATGTGTTTTGTCTTTGAATGAAAAGCTAAATATCTTGCTAAATGCAAAGCACTCTCACGGTCACAAAATAGAAAAATCTTCTTTTGTTCATGCCCGAGTTCCTCCAGCACCATCTTCAACCACATCGCTTCTTTACTAGCTTGTGTAGCTGTTACATATTCTGCTTTTATTGTTGAAGTAGTCACAACTGACTGTAATTTTAAAATCCAGCTTACAGCTCCGCCAACAAGTGCAAACACATATGGAGGTTACAATAATCAGCTAGCTTACCAGTCCACATCTCTATCGGCGTCGTTAATTGTATTACAGTTGATGGAGATCGATTCATCACATAATAGGCGGTTTTTATTGCTTTCGTCCAAAAAACTTTATTTAGATTTGCAATTGCCAACATTACACTTGTTCTTTCCAACATAGTTCATCCGCTCCGTCACTTTATTTTGTTGAGTATAAACAATACTGAATTGTCTTTTGATGCCCTTTTGCTTGCAGAATATAAGAAATTTACTGTCTGTGTATTCTACTCCATTATCTGACCTCAAGCACTTGATCTTTTTTTCCGATTCAAGCTCGACTCGCGCTTGTAGGCTTTAAAGATTAAGAACACATCCACCTTCTTCTTGAATAGGATACACCCAACATCTCCTGGAGTAATCATCAATAAAGAACACAAAGTACTTTGCTCCTCTCATGAATGTAACTATTGCTTGCCATACATCAGAATGAACCAGTTTTAGAATAACATTGCTTCTAGAACTCGATGTGTTAAACTTCAGTCGATGCTGCTTACTTGTAACATAATGCACGTAGAAAGAAAGAGCTACCGAATTAAGTCCAGGAAACAGCTTCTGATCGGAAAGAATCTTCAAATCTATACATGATTTGTTCTTCTTCACGGTTGGTTGATGCCACACATGAATCAGCTTCCTGCAGAGTTTCTCCCTTGAGCATGTATAGATTTGTAGGTATCTTTTCTTTTTTTATTACAATAAGCGTCCCTCTAACAATCTTCATCATCCCGTTTTCTATGAGTCTTGCACCCGAGCTCATCTAATTGTTCTAAAGACAGTAGATTTTTCTTCAAGCCCTTCACATGTCGCACATCTTGAGTGGTGCGTATTGTATCATTAAACATTTTGATTTTGATAGTGTCAATACCAAAAATCTCTAAGGCATGATCATTGCCCATGAATACACATCCTCCTAAGATAGTTTCATATTTGTGAAACCATTCTCTCCGGGAGATCATGTGTCAGAAGGCTGCTGAATCTAGAAGTCAGATATCAGCAAACCTCTTTCTGCCTTCATTAACAGTGATTGCTCCACTGTATAAAATTTTATCATCATCTGACATGCTCACATCCTTAAGATGTTGATGGCTCTGAAGACTTTTTATCTCTACTCTTCTTATTGTGTCAACACTCCGATTTCACGTGCCCTCTTTATCACAATTGTAGCATTTTATAGTCTTCTTATTTCTTAATTTTGATCTACTATGGGTATGACTCTCACTGGAGCCACGTTCCGTTGATCTTCCTCTCGTTACCGATAAGACCACCGCTTGTTGCGAACTTGTCTGCATGTCTTCCTTGTTCTTGCACCAATTTTCTTCTTCCAAAACAACGGCTGCAACGTTATCGAATACTAGATTGTCCGTGAGGACGTTGTTTGTTAGGTTGATGATGAGCTGATCATACGAATCAGGTAGACTCTGAAGTAGAAGTTCTGCACATTTATTCACACTGATTGTATGTCCCAACGTTATCAGATGAGAGAACAGTGTGTTTAGGGTGTTAATGTGGTAGATTCCGCCATCCTCAGAGTGTAAAGTTTCATTTTTAAGAAGATTTTATTGTGCAGGGATTTTACCTCATATAGCTTTGTTAGAGTATCCCATATCTTCTTTGTTGTCTTCTTCTCCTCTATGCTTGACATCACCCCATTTGCTAATGCTAGATGGAGATTTACAATAAAATTTTCATTCATTTTGTTTTACTTTTTATCATCTATGATGTCATCTGGCCTTGCACTGATGGCCGCTAGGCAATTACTTTTCTCAAGATAGTCTTTATCTTTAACTTCCATAGTGAGAAATTACTCTCGTTGAATTTCTCAATCTTGAATTTCATAGTCATTGTTTCTACCACGAACAGTAACTTCTTACTATTTCACGTAAACAATAACTATATTTATAAATAGTAACCGTATCCGTAAATAGTATCATAATTATGACTAGTATCGTATTTGTGAATAGTACTATACTTGTGAATAGTACACGACACCTTCAAATGGTAAATAATAATCCAACTTATTTTATGAAGGATTCACCTTTGGTGGTAACCACAGAACATACGATAAGTAGATACACGTACCCTAAATTAGGTTCTTATACCACTTGTTGGGACAAACTCAGTACCTAATAGAGCAGGGTCTCAGCGAATAGTAGTGTGAAAATTGTTAATGTTAAATATCACACAGCCAATTGGATCCATGCTAGGATTGATTCTGGTCCGGAACTGGATCGGTTTCCCTCGAGTCCTCGTCGGGATGTGATAAGGGAGAGGGATGGAGGGACCGCTTCCTTCTTCGACGTTATGCCTAGTTCTTGAACGGGAGATTAATGTCCACGCTACACAGATAAGAAGAACCCGTAAGAGGGCGGGGACCAGTTTCCCCGTGGTTCCTCCGACGGTCAAGTTAGTAAAACTTGAGTGGGAAAGGAGAAAGTCAGGAACCAATACGGTTCTTGAAGTGACAGTGTCTCTGTCCAGAGGATCTAAGTGAGCTCCTCTATCTAGACAAAGAACTGTGTGTTCTTGTTTTTGTGTCATATATGCTTTTTAGGGGGTTTTAGATTGCGAACTTGCCCTCCTTTAGATATGGTGAATAGCATCTGTATATACAGAGGACGTCAATGGCAAATTAGTCACTTCGGTCATGAAAATGACAGTGACAAAGTGTGAGCTGGAAGGTGAATAGTCCTTTACTCTACATATGTCGGCTAGCGACTGGAGGGGAAGTCATTTCAGCACGGGAGAGTGTGTCTCCGTATTTTTTGGGAAGTGATTAATAGTGTAACTGAAGGCACGTTGGCATACTGAATCGTCCCTCGCTTTAGAGGTGTCGACTGGCGACTGCAGGTGAAATCACTTCGACATAGAAGAGGGTGTCTCCGTATTTTTCAGGAAGTGATTGACAAGTCATGGAGGCACGTGGGCAGGTGACAAGTCACAGAGATCATTAGGCTAAAATGTGGATAATGTTTATCCGACATGGACTGAAATGTTGACATATGCTCTGGGGAAAAGGCTTAAGGTCTGGACCGAGTCCTTAACTTAGTCGACAGTAGGGAATGTCCCTCAAGTCGCCTTCGAGAATTACCCAGGGAATGGTCGAGTGCCCTAAGTGGGTCGCCCTCGGCGATAGGATTGACTGATCCCGCCTTTCATGTCGTCATGAGAGAAGATCGACTTGATGAGCCGACGGGGTCGAAGCCTTTGTTAGGCTTGGGCCACCTAAGTAGGTTTGAGGTTATTTTGATAGGATTCTTATTGTATCATTAAACAAATGCTTGTATCTTGGGTGAGTGAACATCATAACAATTAGCCCTTTTTGTTTAGAGTCGACTTTCAGTCGGCTTCGACAGAAATAAAATATGGTCTGGTCAATACAAGCCTGCTGAGAACGAAAAAATAAGAAGTCTTTATCGAACATCCATTGTTGACTCTGCTTTTCAGGGCTGACGTTATCAAAGATCTGAACCGTCTTTTTAAGAAATGAAGTGTCATGGATATAATGGAGGATCTTTCGTTTTTTGAGTAATGGGACGTGGGACATTAAATAAGGGTGGTGTTTCGTGTTTCGAGTGAATCGCTTCAGATTCCGAAGTAGATCAGGCCTGGTTGCCTCGAAAATCACTACGTCCTTTGAAAGTTCTCTATATTCTTCTTTGAAAGCTTATAAATAGCCTCTTAATGTTAAGATAATTCTTTTACGAACCTTCACTTTGACAAAT